AGGTTCCTCCGAAGCCGCCAGTGAAAACTGCGGCGTCCGTCGCAGCAGCGGCGAATTTGGCTCGACAACGCAAAGAACAGCAACAGCAACAACAACAGCGAGAACGTGATCAGCCTGTTCTTCACCGCCACCATCACAGGGCGCACGAGAAGCAGCAGCAGGAGCAGCAGGGCCGCCATAACAAGAAGAAGATGGCGCCGCAGCCGCCGAAACGCACGGAGGCGTCCAAGCAGGCCGTCGGCGCGTGGAACCTTTGTGCTGGAAAGCGTCGGAATGCCAAGAGTAGCAGCAATAAGGCGCAGATTGCTCCTGAACCTCCGGTTGACCACCAGGTGTCGCTATTGTGTTTATATTATACTGTGATACCTTTACAGTACAGTAATGTACAGTTAAGAACGTGCAACGTTCAGTATATTGTGTGATACAGTGTACAGAAGGATGTGGTTATAATGAATCTCGTTGTAAAAAATGAACTACAATAACAAATTCATTTTCAAGGCCCTTATATTGCGAATGTACCACGATGTTGAGAGAGTTCCGTCATAACGAATTTTTCCTTCAAACAAAATTACTGTATTTTACTAGTCGTTAGAGCTTATTCGTTGTAATGAGATTTTGCTGTATAACTATAGCAGGGAACACAAGCTTGCCTCCATTTTACTTGTGTATTTTCATGCAAAAAACATGCAGGAATCATTTTCATATTTTTAACGAAAACGATTAAGAGAATTTATATTTTAAACACAAGGCCTCAACTATTTCACAAGCTTTTACAACATTTCCTGGAAATGAAGCCGCTACATACAGAGTGGGCCAAAAAAAAGTGAACCAATTTTTGACTGGAAATAGCTCAATAGAAAATTGAGCAGTGGTAATGAAAAAAACCAACAAATGCAAGCTAGTTCAATTTTCTTTCAAATGGTATGCACTTGTATGGTCCTAAGTGTCACAAAATGGTCACAAGAACCATTTGAATTAAAACCTTCCAAGAAAAAAGTTGTTGGGCAACTTTTTCCACTAAGCAGCTGTTCTGGAGAACTGTTTGCATGAATAAAGGAAAAATGCAGGATGGAATAATTTAACCACAATCTTAGAAAGCCTCTACATTTTCTCAAAATTCAGGAGGGGGTGAGAGAAGGAGGAAGGAAATTGGCAAAATAGGATGCTGCAGGGCTCCAGGTGACCCACTGCATACACTTTTTTTTTGCCTGGATGACTACATCGCTCAAAATTTGTTCCACTCAAAGTCAGTTTAATTCAAAATAATATTCACTTAACATCAGTTTCAGCAATCCAGCTCTCCAGATCAGCTGCTTAGTGGAAAAAGTTGCCTAACACCTTTTTTTTGTGGAAAGTTTTCATTCAAATGGCTCTTGTGACCATGCTGTGGGACTTGGGACCATAAAACTACTGTACATACCATTTGAAAGACAATTGAACAATAAGCTTTCATTTGGTTTTTTTTATCACCACAGCTCAATTTGCTACCACAAGCTATTTCAAGTAAAAAATTGGTTCACTTTTTTAGGCCCACCCTGTACTGTATATACAGTACATAAATACTGTATTGGGTCAGGTCTCACATACACTATAATTGACGTGTAAAGAATGAAATAATTGACGCTATATTACAGTCACCAAATGTGCATTGAGTTTTTCGGAGGCAAGGAATAATGTTGTTTTGTCTGATTTTTTTTTACACAGATCAGTGACGAATATATTTGAATAATCGCAATTCATTCATGTATCATAGTAATCATACCCATATTGCAATGTCTGAATTTCCTATGAATCATGACTTGAGTCATGCAGTAATCGAATTTTTATTTCACCAGATTATCGAGTACAGTGAAGAATACACTGAGATAAGCATGGAGGAAGACGAACTGGACGACGAAGATGACAATAATGAAGAGAACAACGTCAACCTCATTGAAGAACACGTCGCAAAGGTGGAATGAAGATGCATTCAATATGAATACAAACTAATTCTATTTATCTATTACACTGCGCCTCCCAGTTTTTGTTTATGCAGTGTATCAATTATTCTTTCACTTATTCCTTTCAAAATAAAACAATTTACATTTTTGATAGCTTTTTATTTTTCCTGTGTGAATAAAATAATAGCAGAAAGGCCTCCGACAGAAAATTCGATTTATGGGGGTTTGATGGAGAACGCCTTTGAGTAAAGGAGGTTTTTAATGTAAAATTGTTTCTGATTAAGGGAAGTTAGATGGAATTGGAAAAAAAGACATCGGAAAATATTCGACTTATTTGGAGGTTTTCAAAAAAAAATCAAGGTACAACCGAATTACAGTGAGACCCCCACATGCGGACACCTCAACCTGCAGACAATTTGACATAGGGACACTTCTTTCCCACAAAGAATTAATAAAAAAAGCCCAACATGAGTACACAGACTTGACATAAGGACATTTTGTGATAAAATTGCAAATAAGTTTCAGGCCAATTTACAAGGAACAGATATTTCCAATCCTAAAATTTATGCAAGAAAAGTTCTTGGGCATTTCTCTCACCAATTTACCATTCATTTAACTAATTAAAAAAATTACCTTCAGCAGAGAGGGACTTCTTTCTCTCTTTTTCACTTGAATGATATTTTTATAGAGAATGCAAACATTTCTATGCACTGTACAGCGGTATCAGTACTCAATTTCCAAAATGTCCATATTGTGTTGAAATATATTGAGTGAATCAGTTTAAATTGGGAGACAATTTTTATCTCCATGGAATTATGGTGAGTATTTTTTCCATAACACACCAATTAAAATGTATATAATGTAAGTCTGAGGGAAAATGCGACTCCACTTACGGACATTTCAACTTGGTGACACTCTTGATGCACCAATTATGTCCACATCTGGGGGTCTCACTGTATACCTTTTTCTTTCAAAGCAGAAGAAATTGAGCCCGAAGTCAGTGCCAGTGGAACGCCGCCGCCACGACTTCTCGCCGTCACGCGTCAGCGTCGCCACTCAAGTATCAGAGTCATGCTCCGAAGAAGAAGAAGACGAAGGCGACGCAGTCGAAACCAATAAGTCCGCCACATTGCCCAGAAACTTTGCCGAGCGCTTCAAACTCTCGTCGCCGCGAGCATCAGCACAGCCGCCACCAGCACCTGCAACAGCAGCAGCAGCACTCACGCAGCTGGACGCCAAATCCGCGGCGTTTGCCCGCAAGTCCGCCGGCAGCTCGACGTTGTCCCCAGTCCGTCTCACCGCCTTCAAAACGACGTCCTTTGAGAAGATCAATTTCCTGAAGGCGCCGGTGATGTCCGTTGCTGATGGGGACAGTGCGGGGAACGGATTCACGTCCACGCACTTGGTGCGGAGTGCTGGTGGTGGTGGTGGTGGTGGTGGTGGTGCTGGACTGAAAAATGGTGGTGGTGAGGATAATGATAATGATGATGATAATAAGGGGTCGTCTTTCCTAATGAGTCGACTGGGAAGAAAGTCGTGGGACGCTGCTGGGGGTGAAGGTCGGTTTTTTGATGCGAAGACGTCGGGCACGCGGTTACTGAGTGTCCCGACAACCCCCGCCGTGAGTGAAACCCTCTGCTGTGTTCATTTTATTTCATAATTTTTAAAAATATAGATTTTGGTGCTTGTGCTGTACAGCTCAGAAATACGCCAAATGTCGCTTTTCTTGAGAATAGGGTTGTCCTACTTGGGCGCGACCTTGGCTATTTCTATAAATTACTGTTGTTGTTACTGTAGAAAAAAATTCAATATAGCCCACAATGTTGTAGATTTTGAGATTATTTGTTCAGATGATTCAGAGGCAATTTTTAAATTTACTGCTTGATGATGAGCAAAAAAATTTCCAGTTGCAACCAGAGTTCTCAAACCAAGTCAACAAGGGCTAAAAACTTTGCAAGGGCAGCTAAAAAACTGAAAATTTTACTTTTATAATCAGCTTATTTTCAAAATTTTAGATAGTGCTTAAAACAACAAAGAAAATTCAATTTTCAAGGTGGTGTGACACATTTCAGCCCCCTGTGATGAGTGTGGAGAAATCTGGCTGTAACTGGAAAGTTTTTCATTCATCATCAAGCAGTAAAATAAAAACTTTTTTTTTTAGATCTGAAAAAATGTGAAAACCTTACATCATAATTTTTCCTAGTCATGAATAATCTAGAAATAACCAAGGTTGCGCTCCAGTGGGACAACCCTTGTACTCTTGTTTGTCTAGGAAAATCTGTGACAGAAAATTTGAAACAGAAACATTTGGGGCCATGCACAATTTGAGACATAAGCATCATTTGGACACATGTACAATTTGAGATTGAAACATTTTATAGCATGTAGAATTTGAGACAGAAATACATTGACACCAACTTTATTTCACAGTTTCAGACAGAAGTGAAATCGAGCTTACATATAATTTTCTTTGTGGTTCTTTGACTTTGAAACATGATGCCTGAAGCTTCTTTTGCAGAATCATACACCAACCATTCTTCTCATCCATCCAATTTGCAAAGTTCTTTTGGAATGATGCACACTTGATTAAAATTTCTTGCAATGTAGAGCACTTTATCTGGTTTGTTTTTATAGAAAGTATGAACAGCTTTTTCAAAGCCCTTTCCTTGTTTTGCTACTGTCTCCAGTCCTATCTCACAATTTCCCCATCTCTGACTTCTGCTGCCTCAAAATACAGTATATTTCTCAAAGTTTTGCTGTTTGCTAACTGTCCCTGACACCAACTATTGTCACTTTCTCAGATTTTACTTGTCTCAAATTATCCCTGCCTCAAGTTCTCCCCTTCTTCAAATGGTCCCCTTATGATATTGTTCTGTTCTTGAATTTCCCCTTTTTCAAATTGCCCCTGCCTCAAGTTTTCCCTATCTCATCTTATCTATGTCTCAGATTACCCCTGCATGTCTCAAATTGTCACAGCCTCAAATTGTCCCTGTCTGAAATTGTCCCTGTCTCAAATTGTCCCTGTCTCAAATTGTCCCTGTCTCAAATTGTCCCTGTCTCAAATTGTCCCTGTCTCAAATTGTCCCTGTCTCAAATTGTCCCTGTCTCAAGTTGTCCCTGTCTCAAATTTTCCCTGTCTCAAATTGTCCTTATCTCAACTTGACGCTGTCTTGAATTGTCTCTTCCTGACATGTTCTGTCTCCATTTCTCCACCCTCAAATTGTTTGAATCAATTTGTCTGTTTCCCTAGATTTGCATTCACCTTCTTCATTAGAATTTATAATTAATTTGTAGGTAAAATAAATGTTGCTGGATATTTCAGATGATTTAAAAACTTCCTTTAGTCAGTGTCTATCTCCAAACAAAAAAAAACTCTCCTAAAATGACTTCCACCATTTGACCCCCATTTCCTCCAAAATCTGGCCTTTCCCACTCTGCAAAAAATATTTCCCCATGTACCTTCCTCGCAAAAAAAAAAAACCCCCACAAAAAATCCAGAGCCTCTGGGCAAAGATTCTGTGTCGTGATTCCACTTGGAAGCAATTGTACTCCTCGGACACAATAACATAAAAAAGGTACAACATTCAAGATAAGGTCGCTTCTGTGTTACAAGCGACAAAAGTCACGATTTGCATCATGTGCGGTCCAGTCAACTTTCGTCGAAAAACGCCGAGAAACAATTGAAAATGAAAAAAAGCGTACAAAAAAAAACCAAAGAGCCCAAGTCCATTATTCTTTCGCAATTGTCAAAGAGGAGCACTTGCCTCTTGACCTCTTACGTCTTCCTTCCCTGAAAGCAAAGTTAAATAAAAGAAAACCCAAAACTAGGTGATGTCAGGCCTAGAAAAAAAAATTGAAAAAAACGAAAAAAGGAACAACATTCATGAATACTTCGTACGAATTGAGCATGAGAAAATGAATACTGTAGTACAATGGAATAAAGAAAGTAGACCTGGAAAAATAAATACTGTACCACAAAACCCAAGAGGAAATTTCATGTATAAAATGCTAAATTGGTAAATTAAATCAAATTCACCATAAAGCTTGAATTCAATTCTGCGTCCGATCGATAACTGAAAAATCTCAAAGAGTATTTCTTGCTTTCATAAAAACATGAAAAGACAATTTTTTTTCACTTGGTTGCCAGCATTTGCTTCCATTCGACCTTCCACCAAAAACAAAAAATTGCAGGAAATCGAATTTTCATTTTTCGTACATTTGCCTTCTTAATTAGAATGGAGGTCATTAAATAATTCCATCATGAATCGACCTGCAGAAAAATAAACGTCTTAAAAAAAAGGAAGAATTGAATTTCACCACGAATATTTTCATAACAGTAATCCCACCGGCTGCCAATATTTCTATATTTTTCGAAACTCATCTTAAAAATCCTCGAAATCAATCAAATTGAATCTCGAGCCAAAAAGTGAATACAGTACATCAAATAAATTTATCTTCGTTTCACACCGGCGGAATTTTTCAAACGCTTGCAATATTTTCTTCAAATGGAACAAGTTTTGTTTATATTAAATTTTTAAATAACACCGTTTTCCTAATAAAATGAAAATAAAAGCCTCTTCCAAACCGCTACGAAATGTGTTTATTGATCAAATAAATAAGAAACAAGGAGTAGAATGCCCAAGAAAAATTCAAAATCTTGCCAAATAGCCACTTGAAATTCCAGCGATAAATTTAATTTTGCAAATTAATAATGAACGGTTTTATCCAGCACTAAAATCACCCCGAAACCACGATTTTACGCATTATTCAAAAAGCATAAAAAATAAAATAAATAGTCCACAAGTACCCGTCAAGGACAATATATAAGAGACACGGACTCAACAGGCAACCCAATCAATTTCACTATAAATCAAGATTCAAATCGATCCGAACCCTGGCCACTCGACAGCCGACTAGTAAATCTGAAAGAAGTACCGCAAAGACTGAGGAAATGCTCAATTTGAAATGCAAAAATCGGTCGGCAAATTCAGATCGAGACAAGAAATGCTCTGCATTTTAATAATCGAGCCGTGGGAAAGGAATGAATTACGACTGATTCCAGCGGCACTGGCTTCAATAAATCGAATTATGACATCATTTTGATTGCATGTATGTCCTTGACCAAAGCTGCTGAATTTTTTCGCAAAAAAAAAAGCCAATGAAGACTCAATTAAAAAAAATGCAATCCTTCTCTGTCCCTTTCAAGAGTGTCGTAATGAAGACGGAACTTATTTCTTCCATGAATTATTTACACGAGCCTTGATGAGTGTTCCCAGTTGATGTTGGTGATTGATGCTTCCATTGATCATCATATAATATTCACTTCTATCTATAAAAAAACACCTTCTTCCGCCTCGAGGAACTTGAAAAGCTCTCAGCATGAGTTCTACAAGATATACTGAAGAGTAAGCTGATTTTTATCAATGTAACTTCGTAGATTAATGGCCATTTCAACCCAGCGGTTTATGATGCATTAAGTCTGCGCACCTTGAAAGGTTTGAACTCCTGATTTGGAGCTACAATACAATGTCAGTAAAAACCAGGAGGGATAAATCACTTGAACATCGTCGAGATTTTTATACTCTTTGAAATAATCGATAGTGTTCCAAGAAAAAAAAATCTGTGTACAGTAGCAAATCAATCAATAACTTTTAATTTTATAGATGCAGAACTACTAGATTTTTGGCGAACAATTATGGTTCTAAAATGCACGTGGAAACGGAGTTATGCGCCGAAATGTATAAATTTCGCGCATTTTTACAAGTTCATGGCTTTTGTTTCACGATTATACAGTACTGTACAGTACTACAAAGGGGAAAACTGAATGGATTTCTCGTAATTCCTGCCACTGAAACGATTTGAAAAGCAAGTAATTTTTTGCAGTCACTCACATCCTTTTCAATAGGATCAAATCACATTTCCATTGTTTTTCTCTTTTCCTGAATAACCAGAATAAATAAACCAGAGGCCCTCAGGAATTCTATGTATGGAGCTCTCAGACAGTACCTGGCTGTTTGTGGTGTTGTACTCATAAACTCTCTTTGTTTGAAGAAAATCCCAGACACCTAGAATTGACAGCTTGATTATTCCAGCCAATTATGAATTACAATCACAAAAGGAGGCAAAATTGGTGCATAAATTTGAAAATAAAATACAGAACCAGCTGTGGAGAGCAGCTGGGGATTTCATTAGGAAATCTTAATAAGATAAACCAGCAATACGTGTATTTCACTTTCCCAAAAAAAATACAACGGGTTTTACAAAACGCAGGTAAATTTCACAGAGAATCACAGATCAATGTCAATGGCTTAAAATGTTAGGGACTATCAAAGACAAATGTCTTCAATGTAATTTGATGTCAAGTGCAATCAAGATTAGAATAAAAACACATTATTCAGTCCGGGACACAACCGGTATTCCATTTAGGAATTCCTAGTTTAAAAGAGGATAAAGTATATTTCACAAATATATGAATAAACAACACAATTAGCTTGACTTGCACAAATAACTTGAGGATAACTTGAATAATACAGCTAAAACTGAATCTGATCTGATTGATGATGAGGAAAAGGAGAAGCTTATACAGTCAACCCCTGTCTAATGGACTTGATTTGTGCAAGGGATGAGTCTGTTAGACAAAAAGTCCTTTACACAAATTCAATTACATAAAAAATTAAAAAAAAAACTGCTTGCAGAGCTGGTCTGTTTGGCAAAAATCCCTTACACCGGAGGTCTGTTAGGCGGGGGGCCACTGTATACTACTAATAATAAATAACCTTCACAAGGTTTTACTGTTACAGTTAGAGCAAGAACAATAACATAAAGTATACTGCAGTGCCAGGATGTTCCTGGCCCTGCAATTTTGAGGAGGGGGGAATATTTTGTACTTCTAGGAATTGAGTACATTACTCTACATGGCTTGCATGCCCAACAGAGACAAACTGTCTGGGAATTCTTCTCCCTGACAATCTGTGCTGCTGCACCTGATTGGTTGAAACTCTTGAAAGGCACAGGCTAAAATCTCAAGTATGCAATTAACATGGCTCTAATCTAACAGCAGTCCAATTTGAATACTCTATTCTGCAGTTCAAATCTATCTTACGCTGTGTGTAGCGGTACATTAAGGTACCAAATTATTCCATCACACCAATAATGAACTAGAAATCTGTCCCAAATATTCTGCAAAATAGCAAATAACAAAAAAAATGATGATGCAAAAAAAAAAAAATTTTCGGTAAGCCCAGGGTTTTCCCCGCCATGGCACCAAGTGAAAGAGAGCCAGGAAGAAATTGATGGCGAAACGGTGCCTGGGTGACGTTGGGGGCTTTTTTCTGGGCCGCCCCGCGCATGCGCAATTCCGCCTCGGGGGGACTCATCCCGAGACGTCAAGGACGCAAAGTCGACAGCAGCTGCTTCGTCGACATCGTCATCGACGTCGTCGGACGACCCAAGAGAGAAAGAAAGAGAGAGAGAAACATCCTTGTCCCAGACCCGAATACATGCGAGGCGTACTACGTATACGTCCTTCAGCACAGCACTGGGTTTTTCTGGATGACCACAGGGCAGACAAAAGTGATGCGTTGCATATGTGATTCACATTAAATACGGGGTTTCAAAGTTTTGTCTGCCTGCGTGAAAAAACTCACGCAGGAAAAATAAATTTACCTGATGATGTGGGAATTGAAGTGTAATAAAAATATAAACAAAGACCAACCGTTTTTTTTAAATTTTATTTGCAGTAGAAAGGTACCCCGACATACAGACACCCCAAAAGTATTGACGATCCGACTTTCGGACAGTTGAAACTTGCCCTAAAAATCTGAACAATGCCTGGAGAAATACTGGCACTTAATCTAAATTTCTAGAAAATCTAAAAGAACTTGATTTTTCTGAATTTCGACAGCCCTTGAACAAATTGATCCATTAAAATTGGTAAAAACTGAAAAAAAATCATGGTGAATTTACTCAAATTCATGAACAGAAACAGGTCAATTTTTTTTGCCTTCTTCTGCAATTTTTTTTACATCATTTGTACTTAGTATAGCAACACTTGTTTTGTTTTTAGTTTTGCTTTATGAGCTCCCTTTTATGCCAAAAGATCAGATTTTGTGCAGTTTTTTCTTTTGCACAGTAATTTTCTCCATCTTCACATTAAGAAAAATATTTTGAATTTAAATATTAAATATTAAATTTTTTTTTATTTCTCTTAATTTATGATAAACTGAAAAACTGATCACAGTAAATAAGTTCCTGATGAAGTCTATAGAAAGGTGTGATCCAACTTGTGGACGTTTTAACATGGGGACAACGTCTGAACACCAATTTCGTCCACATCTCGGGGCCCCATTTGTAAATGCGTTTTGCCATAATCAGCACATTTGATTACTATATGTATTTCTTTCATGCAAAACCAAAAACGATTTTCCTGCAGTTTCTATTCACTTGAAATGTTCTGTGATCTTGAATAGTTGAGCTTTTCCTTCCCCAGAAAAAAACTGAATTATTATTCGTAATGATTTGCAATGCATATTCATAATGCAGCAAAGCTTTAAGATCAAAGGCGGGTTCGCGGGAACTGGAAGAAGAAGAAGTTTTTTTTTGTTGTTCTTTTTGTGGTAGTGTCAAATTAAAAGAAAAGTGAAGAAAGGAAGGACGCAAAAATTCCATTCCCCTTCTCTTTCACTGCTAGCAGCCCAGCAGCGAGCTGTCGCTGCCTCACGACGTCGACAGCTGCGCAAGCACATCCAAGAAGAAGAAGAAGACGAAGAAGAAAAGGGAAGAAGAAGATTGGAAAAAGGAACAAGAATGAAAAGGGAAATATTAAAAAAAAAAAAGTCTCGGCAGACGAAAGGAAGAAGGAACCAAAACTGTCTTTCGTGCCCATAACGAGCCAGTGGAGGATTTATTCATGCCCATACAGCACCATGAGGAAACAGCTTTTCGTTCCGGAACCATGATGATCCAAAAATCCTACTTTCTTGCTTAAAAATTCTAAATTTTATTTTTCTTTCAATCTGAAATCAAGAAGTTTAAAGGTCAAGAATATTGGTCACGAATAAAGACTCCGAGTATTATAACGGGGGTAAAAACTTTACCTGGATTTTACCTTTTTTTTTAGACACTTCTCCAGTTGGCCTTAAATACATTGGGAGTGTAAATGAAATTTTCACCTTATGTGGTTATTCCTAATTGAAATCCTGTCTCGGATAATGGACTGCAGTGAGAGCAATTATTATCTTATGAAATATAAATTCAGGATTATTTATTTAATTTTTTGTTGTTGCAATTTGCTGGCAAAAATTCCCCAAGGACCTGGGATGAATCTGAAATTTCGCAGAAAATCGAAATAATTACATTATTAGTTGAGAAACTTCTGGTGGGGAAAATCCCGAAAGAATCATATTGCGGATGTGAATCAGACACCCGAAAATGTTTCCTTAGGATGACTGAAAAAAATGAAGTTAGTCAATATTACTCGCAAGATTACAGTAATTTGAAATTTTAATGCATTTCAAGTAAGACTTCTAATAATGCGTCGGTTCAATGGAATTAATTTTAAAAATATATATATTCATTTTGAAGTAAACTTGCTTCCCTTTTTCAATTGATATTGAGCTAAAGTCATACATGGTTTTATTGTCAGATTTAACGGCTATTTTTTCTAGGAAGAATATCATGAATTTCCACTTGCAATTCGAAATTATTAGTTCATCATGCGAGAAATGAATGTACTGTATAGCAAGTTTTTCGAAAAACTTTAAAATAGCATTGACTCAATTTTTCAAACTTTGTATCGATTGAAACTTCTCATAATTTATGGTTCTTACTCAATCCTAAACTCAAATACGAGACATGAATTTTTAATGAATTATAAGCCTCGCCTTTATTAATCCTCAGCTTTTCGCAAAAGTACCAAAATTGAAAAAAGATGAAAATTTTAAAAAACAATGTCATTTGCCTTTAACTTGTATAAGAAACTATTCTGCAAAGGACCAAATAATGAACGACAAAATATCCTCAATAATTGATTTATTTTGCACAAAAAACAGCGAATGAAAACTGAATTTAGATGTTGCTCATGTGCATCATTAGAAAACCTCCCAAGAAGTACATTTTACTGCGTGCAATTTTTCAGCGACAAGAACACGAATCGTTTTTTTTTTCTTCTTCTTGAGAGAAAATTTTCAACAAGTTCACGCCACCGTTTTTCTCGGGTCGTGTATTTCTTGTGAAAACTTAATTTTACTGCGTGCAATTTTTCAGCGACAAGAACACGAATCGTTTTTTTTTTCTTCTTCTTGAGAGAAAATTTTCAACAAGTTCACGCCACCGTTTTTCTCGCCAGCACATAAAGAACACTTTTGAAGGTTTTTCTAATGTTTTGGGTACTGCATCACTCTACCGTTAACTGCTACTGAACCACGTTGAGTGCAAGTCAAGCTGGGGCCAAAAGTTATATATATATATATTTTTTTTTAAAGCAAGTGTTTCTTTTTCGCCTTTCAAAAAGACACCGTCTTTCTATATTCTCTTTTTTTTTTTCTTCTACATTTTCCTCGTTTTCTTTGTGAGGTGTGAGAAACACGAACGGTCGTCTTGTGGGGGTGATGTCTTTATTGTTGCATGTGATTCCTTCTCTTTTTTTTTCGATATAAATTTTCTTTTTCTTATTTCGAATATAAATGTATTTTTGGTTCCCTTTTCCAGGTGAGACAACCACCAACACTCGGGAGTTCGTGACGATGATCGCGGCGTGTCGAATGTTTCCTCACAGCCCTGGGTTTTTATCTCATTCTATTTATGATGGTCTTCTTCTCAAGTTTTAACATGTGTCTTTTTGTTCTGTGTTATCGAGATGTGGAGCAGAGTTCAAGGCTTGCGACACCCAGCAAGCGTGAAACTGACAAAAAATATTAGAATCTCAGGAATGAAGAGAGTTTCAGCTGATTGGGTGTTGAGAAAAAAAAATCAGCGCTGCGATTAATGAATTTTAGTCACTTGAACGATTTTCTGGGATTCAAGAGACATTAAAATTTGAGCAGTGAAGCGAGGATATTTCTTCAAAGGAAACAAATTAAACCTGGTTATCAATGCTTGATGATAAATTAGCACATTTTCTCCGAATATTTTTGCAGGGCAAGAATCTAATTGGAGGTCAAGTAACAAACCAAATCTGTTCCAAAAAACGAACGAATAAAAAATGTAAATCAAGAATGAAGGTGAGATAGTTTTAGTTCAGTGGGTGTTGAGAGAATGGGCAACTTCCTGCAGGCAGGAAATCTACGAATTATGAAAACTTTGAGTAAACTGCCTTGAAAAAAATCATTAACAATCTGCATAAATTATGGCATATCCCTTAAATCGAGAACTCCTTCAGTCAAAAATTGTAACCAATTTTTCCTGGTGCATAACAATTGAAAAAAAGTGGTAGATTATGTCTAAAAATTATCGTGGAAATTTCCTGAATCGCGAAATGAAATCCCAGGAAAAATTCTTTGGTGGACACGTGAAATGCATGCCAAAAAATTTGTTTCTGCTTCAAGTCAGCGGGAAAACTCAATGGAAAACTAATGCTTGCATCACTCAGCACAGGTTTGCTCTTAGGTTTTAGCACAAGGAAGATCAGTGCAGAAAACATGCAAATGTGCACGATGCTTAACGTGGTGCGAAAGTTCGTTGACACGTAAAAAGTATTTTGCTAATCTACTCGCTGTCATGCGAAAAGGCAAAACGTTCTCTCAGACTCGCTGATGTCAATCTTTTGTTGCCATTTTTTTTGCCGAAGACGATTTGATAAGACTTCCAGACGATTTCAGCA